TTTCTCCAATTTCATTTTTTTCACCAGCACGTAATTTCACCATGATGCCCCGTAAATACGTCTCCATCAATATCAACAGAAAAATAATATTTGTCTAATTTTTTTTTTTATAATGTAGGTATTTCAATGTCCCCTTTGTCACAACTCAGATCATTTTGGAGGTATGCTTTGACCCTGTCTGTCAGGGCCAACCCGGGCTGGAGATGGATACAACACAACATACATGTTGTGTTACAATCATCTCTTAACTTTTAGTGTGTCTACAGAAGACTACACACAGTCAATTTTGTCATTCTTTTTTTTTTCCAGCAGCCCAGACTTCCCTATAACTCCACTCCCATTTAACTTATTTGTAAAAAAGAAAAACGAAACTGAGAAGAAATGAATGAGAGACTCAGAGGTTGAAGTGTAATGACCTTCCATCCTTCACGGACACGAGCTACCGTTGCACATTCTGCTAATAATATGATCCACGTATGATACCAAAGTAATGTAATGACCAAAGAAATAAGGGGAAAAAAATGGATGATGCAACCAATAAGCATACAGTTTTATTATAAATCAGAGGGATTTGCTGGGTTTTTGTAGATTTATGTCATGTCTGTAAACAACAGAGCGATGCTGATGCAGTGCAGCGGCTATACTGGCTCGCCATCGTAAACTATGTGTAAAAGACACAAATTGCCCAGTACTCACAACAAGAAACAGCATGCAGTACATTGAGAAGGAAGAATGACCCGAGGGGAAGGATAATCTGAAACAAAGCAACACATGCCACATTTCAAAAACTGCTACTGTCCTGAAAATGTATTGTAATAATAATTTCATGACAAAATTTAAAAGAAGTCAGATGGAAAAACAGCTTTACGAGTTTTGTTTCAAAAGACACTATGCAGAAATATCAAGAAGGCAAAGTAGCAGGAGTGGGTGGTTGGCGGGTGCTCTGGTGTGGTTTGCTTCTTCTTTCCTATCAAACATCTATCGTCCTTATCTCCCCTATTTCTTTTTTATGTTTGTTACTCTCTTGTAACACCTCTAATCTTCTGGCGCTCATATGACCTAATGCAGTTGCAAGTGCCGTAAAATCTCTAAAACTAAACTAAAAAAAGTAGCAGGATGAGCATTATTGAAAAAATGTTATTCAAAATATCTGTGTCATGACAATGTGGAATTTTGCGCTCGTAAATTTTTGGGCACATATATGGAGTTATTGGTATCATCTCAAAGTTTTTCATTTCTCTTGCTTGGAATGAAAATATACCCATTATGAATAGAAGAAGTAAAGATATTTGTTACTGAAGAAGGTGGGGGTCACCTGGTGTCAAAAGAAAAATTAAAGAGACAATGGCCTTCAAAATTTAGTGACTTCAAAAGCTGTAGTGTTCCTGGAAACTGCAAATTTTCACTTTTGTGCCATTGATCAACATTTTTCAGTAAAATGCTCATAGAAATGGATTTTTAAATAGACATAAAATGTGATGAGCCCAAAACAGGAAATTTAATCAAAATTGTCCCACAGGCAGAAAAATGTTAGTTTCTTCGAGATCATAATTTTCACGAAGACCTGATTTCTCCATGATGCCACGCAATGTTTCTCAATAGACACAAAATACAAAATGTATTGAGCCTCAAAAAAATCGATAGAAATAATTGCCCTACAGGTGGAAAAAAATGACAGTTTCTTTGATTTCCTTATTTGGACGAGCGCTTGATTCCACCACTTGCCCATAAATGTTTATCATGACTGTTAGACCTTGCTTTATTTTCACCAAAATTTCCGATTTACAGAAATTAAATGTCAGATCTGTCAAATTCATTGAACTTAATGATTGCTGTAAACTGATAACTGTTTTTCTTGAGTAAAGACTGGGGACCTAAGCAGCTGTCTAGTCTACCAGTGCCTGTGACGAAGCAATTTAACGGTTAATCGTTTCGCAGGAGACCCAAGTTCAGCCCCTGACTGAGGAAAATTTTTATTGAGTGTCTCAGTCTTTCTCAGGTGGGATCTGTATCCCTTTCAGACTGGGTTGGCTCTTACAGGCAGGGTCAGAAGCCTACCTCCTGCAAATTATCTCAATGCGGGTGTCAAAACAACAACATTATGTTTTCTCTGTTCTAACTTTACAAATGGAAGGTCATTTGGCCATGATCAAAGTGCAAACAAGTTTTTTGGCGCTTAATAAAGAACACTAGACACTTGGTCTTACCCAAAAGCGTGCAAAATCTGAAAAAAATCTTAAATAAAAACTAGTAACCACTGGGAATCGAACCACCTTCATTCATGCTTCAGCTTGCGAGAGAAGCACCTTGACTCTACGCCAGCAACATCCAATCCCCCCCCCCCCAAACACCTGACTAAATCTTGCACTATACAGTCTAGCATGCACAAAAAGAAACACACACACAGCAAACTGATTTTCAGGTAAGAAATTTTTCTTACATTCTATTCTTTGTACATAAAACACATGTACATAGCACAATTCGTACATTACAGCTAAAAAAATGTCCATATCCCTCAAATTTCAATGTAATGTATGTGATAGACTGTATATGACACTAAAAAGGGAAATACTAAGCTTAGAACTATATAAGAAAGTCAAAGTAGTTTACCTTGCCTCCGTCATCATGGCAGAATCAGTGGAAGTGCACACATCATCAATGACAAAATCTGCACAATTCGCAAGGGACAAATTTGGCTTACACAGAGTTAGAAAGTGAGGCCGTAATCGTCCGATGGAATATTTCCCAATTTCTGTTAAAAATTGAGTTACTGATATTCCAAATACAAACACTATCAGGCTTCTGTACGCAGACAGCCACCAAGATTTCCTGCGAGGATACGCTGTTTTGGGAGCAATGAGGCAGACTTCCTGGTTGTGTCGCAGAATAAATTCACACAGCAATATCTGTGGAAGAGGACAGAGACAAATTGTGACAGTAGAATGTGAAGCAAGTTATGCAACCCCCCCCCCCCCCAGAATATGTAGTATAGCTCAGGATCTTTCACAAAAGAAGAGTCTACGACCTTATTGTGTATAGAAGTCAAGATATTTGCCATTGGAGGAGGTAGGGGCTCTCTGGTGTCGAGGGTAAAATTAGCATGAAAATGACTACAAAATGGTGACTCCTGAATCTTGTATATAAATCCTTGAAAATTACAAACATTTTTTGGGCCTTTGATAAATGTGGGGCAGGGTGGTGAAATCAGGCGTTCGTCAAAATAATGAAATTGAAGAAATTGGCAATTGTACACCAGTTTCGGAATTTTTATAGAAAATTTGTATTTTGGCTCAACATCTTTTATGTCCATTTAAGAACCTATTTCTAAGTGGGTTTCACTGAAAAACGTTGACTAAAGGCACAAAAAATCAAAATTGTCAGTTTCCACGGACTCTCAGGCTATGTAAATAACAAAATTTTGGCAGCCATTTTCTCACTAATTTTACGTCTGAAACCAAGCAACCCCCACCTCCTTCAATCACAAATATCTTGACTTGTATTGAAGATAAAGGGGAATTTCATTCATTGAAAGCAAAGCAAATGTACAAGCTTTCAAACAATACCAGTAAGTCCACATGCTCAAAAATTGACGAGCGTCTGATTCCACCATGTCGTAACACAATTGTTTTTTCAGTTAAATCCACACAGAAATGTGTTTTTTTATTGAACATGAAAGGTGTTGAGGCAAAACAAAAAAAACCCAAAAAACCTATATATATTACCCACAAGGAGAAAAGTTGTCGGTTTCCTCGATTTTGTTTTATTTCGACAAGGAGCGATTCTCAGATTTTATTATTTTGATGAGACCTGATTTCACCACGATACCACACAAATAAATATCTGGCTAAGATACATACCACAACACCTGGCAAGAGAACTCCCACACTGGCGGCCAGAGCTATTGAGACCGTGTCTGACAGAACCGGGTGCATGATACTCTCATCCCCACAGAAGAAGCCTCGGTGGTACGGCTTTGCTCCAAACTTGATGGCTAAAATGCCACAGCCAACTGAAAAAGAAGAAAAACAGAAATCATTTCATAATATTGACTATGATATCCATTACATCCATGATATCCTAATAATCTCTCAACCTCCCATCTCCGTTTTAGCCTTTGAGCACAGCAAATTTCTTCTCCCCCCCCCCCCCCCCCCAAACCTCCTTTTACCAAGAAGTTACATAATTTATACATAGTGGACAGAAGGGCGAGAGCCCACCTGTTGCTGGATCGATAACAACAACAACAACATACATAGTGTAGCTTACACACATTCTTCATTCAAAACTTTGACCAACAATCATTATTCTGGAGAAAGGGAGGGGGAGGGGGGGGGGGAAGAAACTCCCTGGCATTCTGCATTCCATATTATTATGTGAATGCTACCTTTTCACAACTTCATTTTCTCCCCTAGACACACACACTTAGAAGCAGTTTAAATCCACTTGGAAAATCATGACCATAAATTCTCAAATTTATGCACCTAATGAAAAGGGTAGTTCAACTTTTATCTCCGAGGGGGATAAACCCACTATGTCGGGGCCCTTTTTGGCACTAAATCTAAAAATGATGAAAATTTCACTAAATGGGTCATTAAGTCCAAACTCGCGAACCTATTATGATAGTACTTCATCTAATGAATGAACTTCTGATAAAAGAAACTGGTTTTCGGCAATTGCCGAAAAGTAATTTGATGTCGAAGTCATCGTAATGGAATGTTCCTGAGCCACTGTCAGCGGCTCACCAGCACAACAGTTCCGACCGCGAGCCGTTGGAGATAAAGAGTTTATAAGACTGCTGCTGGATCTCGCAAAAACATTATAAAAACATGCACATTGAAAAACATTGATTTTCAGATCCCAAATTTTTTAAAAATTAAATTTTTGTAGTCAAAACATGCTGCCTACACACATAGACAAAACGATTAGAGTAAAAAAAAAGCTGGTTTGAATGAGGGTAGATTAATCAAACACAACCGCAAATTTTGTCTACAGAAGTAAGCATAATGAGAGATAGAGAAGAAACAGAGAGAGAGAGGAGGGGGGAAAGAGGGAAAGGTGAAAGAGAGGGGAAGAGAGAGAGAGA